CCCTGTCCTAAGTGCCCCAGGATTGGTTGATGGTGGCTGCAGGGTCAGTACACATGCAGATAACTCTTAGCCTGTCTGTTGCCCTGTCCTAAGTGCCCCAGGATTGGTATCACTGCAGCCGAGGTCCCGTGATCAAATTCTTTGTGCGTGGCTCTGTGCCAGGAGCATGGGGCCATAGAGAGGTGCATGACATATATGAACTAGTAAGAAGCACGTAGTTCAGGTTCGGGATGCGTAGGGGCTACTCTCTCTTCTGATGGGCTCTTTGGGAAACAGTGTCAAGGCCTCCTAGATGTCTTCTGCTATAGAACTTCTAACCACAGTGGATCCTGGAACTGTCTACTAGGGACATGAGACTTAGGAGTACAAGCTGCTGGTTCGGCTCTGCCAGCTCTTGAAAGGCAGACTAGCTCCAGGCACAGCCATGCTGACTCCAGCTTGTTCTGCTCCTGCCTGGGCCAGATGGATGGTGGGTTTGGCTCAGTGCCTGGGGGTTCCAGGCTCCGAGTTCTGCTGCCTGATATCAGAGGAGGCTCCTGGGCCCCAGCTGTGAGCAGGGAAGGGGGGTGCCGGCTGTAGAAGGGGCTCTGCCTGACGGGGGGCCTCTGTCCTCTCTGCAGGTAATGTATTTCAGCTCCCTCTTCCCCTACGTGGTGTTGGCCTGCTTCCTGGTTCGGGGGCTGCTGCTGCGAGGGGCAATTGATGGCATCCTGCACATGTTCACTCCTAAGGTAAGGCTCTGTGGTGTCCACATGGGGGGAACCCTGGCAGCTCCACTGGGCCTGCTCCGCTGCACACAACTTTACACCCAACCCCAACTGTCTGGCAGGTGTTTTGTGCTTTGTGCTTCAGAGAAGCCCAAGAAAGGGGTATAGGCTCTGTCCTCATGTTTCAAGGAGAGGGACATTACTTCAATTTGGGTGAAATCCAAAAAGACTCCAGAAAAGAGGTGGCATCTGAAGTGAGCCTTGCCGAGCAGGAAGGGCTTCAGCAAAAGTATCAGTATGATTTACTAATCATAGGAGATCATGTGAACAAGGATGTGAAAAAGCATCAGGCACACCTGCAGCGATGACAGAGGCATGTTCCATTTAAATGTGAGGGATGGGGCTTCAGACCTTCATTTTAGGGGTGTCTTCATTCTGTGGGTCTGTGCTAATAGGAGTCAAGAAGATGAACTCCCCTCAGGAATTCCAGTTTGTACCCAAATCAGGGAAACAAGGAGCCCACTCGGGCACCCTCCTAATCCTGTCACTAGCCCGTGAAGGGACTGCGAGGGATCTTTGCTCATAGAGGATGTGCTGAGAAACAGGTATTCTGCATATGCACACCTAGCCTTCAGGAGGTGGTCTGTCCCCACCTCATGACCGTGGACACAACTACATGAGTGGGCTACGGGGGAATAATAATATCAAATTGTCCTAAACAATGTATGTCAGTGCCTCCAGTTGATGGGGCTGAGAATTTCACCTCCAAATCCTTCTGAGCTAGACTATGAACCCTGGGTCAGACGGGGCCAGATGGGGCCAGACGAGCTTGAAGCCTCAGGACTCAATAGTGCCACCATACATGTGTATACACGTGCACATACACACTCCCTTTCACAGGGAGTTCACACGGGGTGATTAAGAAAGCCCCAGATTCTATGGAGTTTGAAGTCCTCAGGTCCCATTGACTCTCCTGCCCTGCTATTGTGAGTGGGCTCCTGGTGTGTGGAGGATGGCCATGGTTAGGACCTATGCCACCCAGAACTGCACAAACTGGCCTTAGACATCCTTGGCCTGAATAACCAAGACCCACGTCTTTGTGCAAGTTTCTCTGAAGTAAATACAGCAAAATTGAAATTGCTGTCTCAAAGGGTATGCAAATCTTCAGCCAAAATACTTTCCAAGTGTTTGCATCCATGAGCACGCACACCAGGTATATAACTCCACGTTTGACAGGCTTCAGTTTTGCCCATCCAATAGATGCATATAGCTTAAGTCCTCAGAACAACAGAGCCACTCCCTTCCTCAAACCATTTCCTGGATGTTCCAGAAGCCATGTGAAGCTACCTGGCTTTTGCAGAATCTTCTGAGCTGTAAAATTAAATATAGAAGCCCCTAGAGGAACCAAGTCCCCAAGAACCAGCATGGTGCAACTCATGGCTCATCTGACTCGTTAGTCTCCAGGTCAAGTCTTTGTGACTCATCTGGGCATTGTCCACGGAGCAGTTTCATTGTGTAGCTCCTGCACCTGACTCTGGAGGCTTGTGTTGAGCAAGGAAGGGTGGCTAAGAAGACTTGAACACTCTCCTGCCCAGGGCACCCAGGCAGCCTTGCTATTGTTCGCCTGGAGTGTGGTTTCTTTTCACAGATGCCCCCAGATGCTGTGCAGCAAAACATGAATCCACCCGCGGCAACATCTGATGGACCATCTCATCTGATGGTCCGTCAGGATGAGGACCATTGCAGAGAAGTGGCTGTCGTAGCTCAGGACTGGGAGATACGAGGTCTCTGGGGTCATTTAAAGTTCTTGGTGCCACAGAGCACCACCAGGTCACTGTCCAGAGCTGCCCAGGATGAACACTGTTTCATTCATTCCTATGGATTACAATATTAACAATATCCCAAGAGGTTGTGCCATTCAACACCCTGAACAAAGTCAAGAAAATTTTGACCAAGGCATCTCAGACTCCTTTTTAGACTATGCTGGATGACGTGAGAGGTCCTTCTTCCTCCCCGGACTTCTTCCAACATCAGAAAATATCCAGGCTTTAGGACCTATCCTTTCTGTCCCTGTCTGCAAGCAGAGAGCTAGTGGATCTGGTGTGCCGTGTGACCAGGATGCTATGATGACTCACTAGTGGCCCTGATGAGAGAGTAACTGGTGTTAACAGCTAATTAACTACTTGAAATTCCCAGACAGCTTTCCCTTATCATTTCTTTCATCCAAGGACAAAACCAGGTCAACATGGGGTGCCATGCAATTCTCATGTAACTTGCCCAACATATAATGGTGAATTATGGAGAGGTTTTTTTCAGTCATATAAACTCTCAAACAGTCAGAATGATGAACATTCATGTCCTTTGGCCCAACAATTTCACTTTTAGGTATTTTCCCAACAAATGTAGCCATATATAAGCAAAATGGTTAGTACTCAGTATTGGTTGCTACAGCATTTGTTTTAGTAGCAAAAGACTGGCATGCTCCAAATGCCCAAATGTTTACCAGCCATGTTTGCATTCATCCAACAAAGGCTCGCTAGAGCCAGACACTGTTCTAAGATGGATATCAGCCCATGAATACAATAGACAAATTCCCCAGCCCTCAGAATGGATGATATAAAATAAGATGCAGAACTGTTACTGACCAGTGTGGTGAGGGGAAGAACGGAGCAGAGAACAAAGAATTGGAGCTTCTAGGGACAGAATGCATTTTATTTTATTTTATTTTATGTGTGGCCAAGGAGTGCCTCACTGAGGAAGAGCGTTTGAATAGTGGCCCTAAGGAGGTGAGGGCTCAGGCTACACGCAGATGTGGAGCTCACACCTTCCATTCTAGACAGAGAGATAACGCGTGAAAGGGCCTTGAGCTGGAGCAGCTTGTGAATTCTAGGAAGTAAGGAGGGGAGAGAGGCAGGACTGTGGTCTGATTAGGGCTATGGGGGTCCAGGAGGCCATAAAGACACTTGGACATTTCCCCTGTGTAAACTCTGACCAGTGGGAGGTTAATGGGCAGAGGGATGAGATGCTATGGCCACCCTGAGCCTCTTAGAGGAGGCTGCCATGGAGAGTCCAAGAGGAGAAGAGGGAGATTTGCTTTGTGGGTCACTGGATGAGAGGAACCGTGAGCCAAGCAGGGATGGAGGGCTAAGAGTTGGTTGAGTTGAAGAAACACTTAGGAAACAGACTCAAGAGGGTTTGCTGTGGCTTGGATATGAGGTGTGGGAGAAGCCAAGAGTGACTCCAAGGTCTTTTGCCTGAGCAGCCAGACGGATGGAGATGACATTTATAGAGATGGGAAGGACGGGAGAAGCAGAATTTAGGAGGAACACCCAGACTATTGTTTTGGATGTGTCAATTTTAAAATGTCCGACAGATAGGCAGATGAACTCGTGGTGTGGTAATTTGGCCCATAAATCTGGAAGTAACAGGTGAAGGAGCAAATTTGGGAGTTCTGAGTAGTGGATGGAAAGCTATGGCTTGGTTTACAATGCCTGGAGAGTGAGTTCTGTCAGAAAGGAGGACTCAGCTCAGAGCCGCAGTCTTCATGGGTTGAGGGAAGGATAGCAGGTAAGGGAGGCAGAAGAGATGAAGCACACATATCCACGCCCCCAGGCAGAGTCAGGGAAATGCTTGAACAAAGGTGAGCCGGGCAGATGATGAAGACAGGAAATAACCAATCATCTGGCAACGGAAGCGTCATTGGTGACCTTCATAAGAGATGTTTTGATAGAACATTGGGGACAAACTCTAATGGTAGTGAACCAAAAGAAAATGCGAGGTGATGAATCAGAGACAAGTAGGAGAGGGCGTTTGTATTCAGTAGTTTCACTATAAAAGGAAACAAAAATGAGAAATGCAAGAGTAAGTGGAGAGGGCCCTGGGGTCAAGGATATTATCACAGAATTTATATAATGCTGAAAATAATTCACCGAACACCGACAGGCTAGAATTAATACAGGAGCTTAAAAAAAAAAGTCTAGTGTTTCCGTATGATGCAGTAATTCTACTCTTAGACGTGTATCCAAGAAAACTTAAAATGTATATTCACACAAAGTTGGAGCATGAATGTTCATAGGAGCGTGGTTTATAATAGCCCCAAAGCAGAAACAACCAACATGTCAATCAGCTGAGGAATGAACAAAATGTGGTAGATGCATAAAATGGAATGGTATCCAGCTGTAGAAAGGAAGGATGTACCAGAGCTGTGATAATGGCACAGTTGGCAAAGCATGTACCATGAAAGCATGAGATCTGAGTTTGATCCCTAAAATAAAAGAGACAGGCATGGAGGCATGTACCTGTAATCCCCTGTCTGTGGATGTGGACATGGGACGAGCCTTAGGGCTTGGTGCTCAGCTAATTTAGCTTCTATTCTAGCCATCCATGTTCAATGAAGCAGTAATCCCGGGGAGAAACCCGTCTCAAAAATAAATGGTGGCGAGCAACTGAGGAAGAGATGCAAGGTTAACCTCTGACCTCCACTAGTGTACACACAGATCTAGACAACCTTACCCCTATGAACATGTATGCAAAACACACAAGAATAAAGTACGGACACATGTCACGGCATGGAAGACCCTGGAAAATATTAAGCAAATCAAAGGATTTAGACTTGAGAGGCCACAACGTGTGCAATTCCAAACATAGGAAGTGTCCAGCATAGACGAATCCATAGAGACGGTACACTAGTGGTCACTGAGGGCTGCACTTGAGGGAAGGCATGAGGAGCAATGTTAGTAGAAACATGCTTCTCTTAAGGGCAAGGAAGAGGCTCCAAACTGATAGTGCTACAGATTGCTCAATACTGGTGTGCTAAACGTTGTTGAACTGTACACTTAAAAAAAAATCCAGATGACATCAGGGAGAGGCCCAGTGTCTTTGGGGGAAGAGTTGATGTTAGCTGCATCCACACACACCAAGGGAGAGGGGAGCTCTTGGTACCGTGCTGGCAGGAAGAAGCTGTAGGGAGGGGTTCTAATAGTCCTCTTCCCATAGTGGCATCTTTCTCAGTGAAGCAGGAAACC